TGGTATTTCCATTCTAGAGTAGCTTATCTCAGCATGCAGACAGAAGTAAAAACAACTAAAAGCATTATTCTAAACAAAATGAATATTTAAACACTAATTCTACCTCAAATACTACTTTATGAACATTTTACCTCTGATTATATGTAAACTGTATAATTTGCTGTCTGAATATACATTTTTTTTCCTTAAAGGAAGTTTTTTGAGTATTTAGAAATATAATATTTCTTCTTTGGATGTTTACTTTGTTCCTCCAAAAATAGCTTTGTTTATTATATTTGGAAAATTACATTAGGTGCATTAACTACTTCCTGAACTTCCCAATGCATAACTGAATCCAGGCACATAGTATTTGCAAATGCCAGATTTTTCTCTGTATTCAGATAAAACAAGCAACCTGGGAGTTTATGATATTTTTAGAAGAATAATGCCATGTTCAATACTAGTGGCCATTTTACAATAACGACTAGCCAATAAATAGAAGCCTGAAGGCAGCCTATTGCATTTGTTATTGTGTGTTGTAAAGGAGGAAATGCATTTCAGAATATTATCACAAAATTGAAAGAAAAGGATCGAGAATCCAAGATGGCTGCACAGGTAAACACCTAGCTGCAGCCGCACACAACAATTTCAATAAAATACAACTAAAATATAAAATGGACATTACCAGAACTACAGGAAAGTTGACTGACTGGAAATTCTACAACAAGAAGCAAGGAGAAAACCAGAAGGAAGAGCGGAGGAGCTGTAAAAGCCCAAGGTACGGAGACAACGCGGCACATGCGGAAAGGACGGAGCCGGAGAGGAGGGGCATCTGAGTGCCTGGCTGGCGTTCCCTAGCAGGAAGGAGATAAAAGCTCTGACTGTGCCGGGCCCCATTTCCGACTGCTCTGAACCCCAGTTCTAGGCCAGACCCCCGGGACCAGGCTCAAACAGAGGGAGCTGGGCTGTAAGGCGGAACCCCAGGGGAACGGTGAAAGGAGGTCCTGGAGGCGCGCACATTGTGTGCAGAGAAGGGACAGTTGGCTGTGCCGCTGGATTGCGCTGGCAGGAAGGAGACAAAAGCTCCAGACTGCTCTGAATGCCACCTCCAACTCCACTTCCAACTGAACTGAACCCCAGTTCCGGGCTCATTGGGGGAGAGCCTAGACTGTTTGGTAGCAGGCGAAAATCGAGGGCACCTTTCTCTCAGAGGTGCTTGCAACGAGTACTGAAGGACCCTGGGGATTACTGGGACTCAGGAGCCGCATAGGGCGGGGCTGACGGAAGCCAAGGCTGTAGGCTCCACCCTGAAACCCCGCCCCATCAGGGAAGCTGCGAAAATGCCGAGACAACGAAATAGATCTCAAACGAAAGAAATGGAGGACAAAAAGCGACTGGATATAGAGTTCAAATCTACGCTTATAAAATTTTTCAAGAATTTCCTAGAAAAGGTCGATAAGACCTATGAGGATATGAAAAGGGATCAACTAGAAATAATAAGGAATCAGCCAAGACTGGATTGGCTCAATGGATAGAGCGTCGGCTTGGGGACTGAAGGGTCCCGGGTTCGATTCCAGTCAAGGGCATGTACCTTGGTTGCGGGCATATCCCCAGTAGGGGGTGTGCAAGAGGCAGCTGATCGATGACTCTCATTGATGTTTCTAACTATCTCCCTTCCTCTCTGTACAAAATCAATAAAATATATATTTTTAAAAAAATTAATAAGGAATCAACAAGAAATGATAAGGGATCAACAAGAAATAAAGAATACATTGTCTGAAATAAAAAATACTCTACAGAGTCCTAAAAACTGAATACATGATCGCAAGAATCAAGCCAAAGATTTGGAACATAAAGAGCCAGAAGACACTCCTCCGCAGAAGCAAGAAGGCAAGAGAATCCAGAAAATTGAAGATAATGTAAGAAACCTCTGGGACAACTTCAAGCGAACCAACATCAGAATTATGGGCGTCCCAGAAGATAAGAGAGAGCAAGATATCGAAAACATACTAATAGAAATAGTGACAGAAAACTTCCCCCACCCGGTGAAAGAATTAGACTTACAAGTCCAGGAAGCGCACAGAACTCCAAACAAAAGGAATCCAAAGAGGACCACACCAAGACAAATCATAATTAAAATTCCAAGAGCAAAAGACAAAGAATATTAAAAGCAGCAAGAGCAAAGCAGGTGGCTATAAAGGAGCACCTATACGTTTGTCAGCTGATTTCTGAACAGAAACCATGCAGGCCAGATGGGAATGGCAAGAAATATTCAAGGTGCCGAAACCGGTTTGGCTCAGTGGTAGAGCGTCAGCCTGCGGACTGAAAGGTCCCAGGTTCGATTCCAGTCAAGGGCATGTATCTTGGTTGCGGGCACATCCCCAGTGGGGGGTGTGCAAGAGGCAGCTGGTCGATGTTTCTAACTCTCTATCCCTCTCAATTCCTCTCTGTGTAAAATCAATAAAATATATATTTTTTTAAAAATATTCAAGGTGATGAATAGTAAGAACCTACAGCCAAAGATAATCTACCCAGCAAAGCTATCACTCAGAATCAAAGGCCAGATAAAGAGCTTCACTAATAAAAAAAAGCTAAAGGAGTTCATCACCACCAAACCAGAATTATATGAATTGCTGAAGGGGGTTCTTTCGGAAGAGAAAGTAAATAAAGATAAAAATTATGAACAACAAATACGAATCTAAAATCCAAGGAAATTTAAAAAAATCTGATAAACAATATTAACTGTTGAATATAATAGAATCAGAGGTATGGAGGGGGAGTGAACTGACGATTCTTGGGGCAAAGGGGAGAGGGGGATGTGGGAAGAGACTGAACATAAACTGCACCTATGGATGAGGATAATGGGGGGTAGGGAAAGGGCAGAGGGTGGTTTGGGAACCTGGTGGAGGAGAGCAATGGGGGGTGGAGGGGAAGGAACATTTGTAATAATATGAACAATAAAAATTTATTTTTTTTAAAAAAAGGATCTAGGCAGGAATTAGAAAGGAAAAAAGATCAGTAAATTTAAGTCTTCAGCCACTGAGTGTTTAGTATTCATCCAGGCATTTCCCTTGCTGTTTGGTATACCAAGATGTGTTCAAACACTAGCATTTCAGCTGCCTCCTTCTCTCTTGTAATCCCTTGGGCATTGTCAGGGGAGACAGCTAATGGAAAATGCTAGTTTTTATAGATGGAAGAGATTTAATTGTTTCCATTAGATGAAACATTTTTATGAAGTGGATGAGAGTGTATTTTATGCTTTGTATCCCATTCATAAAATGTGGTAGATGTTTATAACTGGAGCTCCATTCCTGGAAATTCAACCTTGGCTTTTTTTTTTTTTTTTTTTTTTTCAGAGAGGAAGGGAGAGGGACAGAGAGATAGAAACATCAATGATGAGAGAGAATCATCAATTGTCTACCTCCTGCATACTCCCCACTGGGGATTGAGCCCACAACCAAGCTATATGCCCTTGACCAGAATCAAAACTGGGACCCTTCACTTTGCAGGCCAACGCTCTATCCACTAAGCCAGTGTTTTTCAACCTTTTTTGGGCAAAGGCACACTTGTTTCATGAAAAAAATCACGAGGCACACCACCATTAGAAAATGTTAAAAAATTTAACTCTGTGCCTATATTGACTATATATAAAGTAATTCTCTTGAATAGGAATCAAATAAACACAAAGAAAGTATTTTATAATTACTTTATTATGAAATATTAAGTAAACAAAATAGTGAAAAATTATAAAATTCTTGTCTGCACCTACGGCACACCAGGCAACATCTGTGCCGCGGAACAGCGGTTGAAAAACGCTGCACTAAGCCAAACCAGCTAGGACCAACCTTGGCATCTTTTTATGTAATCTATACCATGAAAATTGCATCTCCACACCCCATGTACTTTACATGAAGTTTTAAAAGAAAAGATGGCCTCTTTATGCCTTTTTTCTTTTATTTTCTATAATTTATATATAATACATACCTATTAGCCTTCTAAAGGTTGGAATACCACATGATCCTTGTGTTTGGACTTAGGACTATTACAATTATTTTATTTTATTTTTAAAATTTCAGTTCTTTTTCCTTTCCTCCTTCTTTTTGCTTCTTGCCTAATTTTTGGTAAAGAAAAATTATTTGACTACTCAGCTACTTAAACATTTCACTCTATTCCAAAATCCCATTTTTTGTATTATATTCCCCCCCACCCCCCTTATCCCATTCTCCCTTTAAAAACTCCACACCTGTTCATTATGAGCATCTCTTCTCCTTGTCTTGCTGTCTTTGTTCATTCAGCAGGCCTTTTATGTAAACAGTGCCAGGCAATGAATATGCCAAGATAAACAGTACCTAGTTTTTGTTCTCATAAAGCTTACAAGTCTTGGGGCCAACTGTTCACTTCACTGCTCAGATTGCTACATTCCCCCATTCTTGTCTATATGTGTTTTCTTTGTAAGGATTTACTTAAGCTTTTAACTAGCCCACATTCCAGTGCTTATTTTTAAAAGGTTTCAGAATCTTGTCCACTGTATAGATACACTTCACTCATATCCCATTGAAGTAGCTCAGCCATGCCTGCCTTCCCCCCTGCATTCTGAAAGTATAGATGACGGTGATCCTAAGACAGCATATGATTTATGAATATTAGATACCATTGCATCCATCCATTTCTTCCAGTAGCCTCTGCAGCTATTATACAAATCATTTTCTAATAAAGTCAGCCCTCTGTATCAGCAAGTCCCACATCCAGTCTACAGTTGGTTGAAATTCACGGATGTAGAACATGCTGATAGGGAGGGCCCGCTAAACAACTTGTGTATCCAATCTGTGAAGGTTCCTGGAGCCAATCCCTTGTGGATATCAAGGAACAACTGTGATTATAATGGATTATAATTTTTTCTCCCTTTTCTTGTTTTTATTCTTAGCACAAAAGTTAGGACTCATGAGATGAAACCCCTTTGTTTGTTAAACTTAAAAGTTAATATGACTCATGAAAATTGTGTAAACCTTTTTTTCTTCTAGCATATTAAGTCTTCCACATCAAGCATCTCCAGTGTCCCGAACCCCAAGTCTCCCTGCTGTAGACACAAGCTATATTAACACACCTCTTATCCAAGACTACAGGCATTCTTTCCACATGACACCCATGCCTTATGACTTACAAGGTGAGTCACCAATTATTCTGTATTGTCACGTAGAATTTTGGATGACTTTGATTTATATAGTCTTCTTCTGGGTGAATCTAAGGAAGAATTGAAAGATTGGGAAAATGGGTTCGGGCCTATGGAACTGGTCATAAATAAATACAAATCCAGTTTCTTGTTTGTACTTTCATCAATAGCCAGAGTTTTGCTACCAGTGATAACACTAATGCAATGATTTCTAGGTTTTGTGGACTTCAAAATAGTCTACCAGTTGTTTTTTGGGTGATTTCTTATATGCTGATTTGAATTTTGATAGAATATTATGTTTTGTTCCCTGAATCCAGTTATGATGCAAGAGGCATTGTGGGTAACTTTTATATTATCTTTTAGATATTGCAGAATTGAAATACTACAAGGTTTTAATTTTTGGTCCAGTGAAACTGACTCTTCTTTGTTTTATTTATTTTTTATTAATCCTCACCCCAGGCTATTTTTTCATTGATTTTAAGAGAGAGTGGAGGGGAGGAGTAGAGACACATCGATGTGAGGGAAAGACATTGATTGGTTGCCTCCTGCACACACCCCAACCAGAGCCAGGAATCAAGCCTGCAACCTAGGTACATGACCTTGACCGGAATCAAACCCAGGGCCATTCAATCCTTGGGCTGATGCTCTATCCTGAGAAGAATCAGAGCTGATTCTTTTTTAAACTAGTTTGAAATGTCATTATACCTATTTGTATAATGTATTTTGAGTTAATGATCCTTACATTACCAAAAAGAATTATTATTATTCTCATATATCTTCATAATTTAATAACTTGTATATTATCCATATAATCTAAGAACATTTTTCTTTTTTATTACAAAAAGACATATAGGCTCATTGTAGAAAATTTACCACAAAATGCAAAGTGGAAATTTCCCTCCACATCTCCCCAGCAGAAATCTCAGGCCACTGGCAAGGATTCTTGGGAGCTGAGGTAGTTGATTGGCTTCTTAGTAACTGTAATGGAAAAAAAACAATCCCTATTTCAGCTCCATCCAATAGAACTTCCTGCAATGAGGGAAATGTTACTAGCCACATGGTGAGCATTTGGAATGCTAGTGTGACTGAGGAACTGAATTTTTTATTTCCTTTAATATTAGTAAATTTAAATAGTCATATCATGTTATTAGCTGCTATTCTCTTGGACATTGCAGCCTATTTTTCACTTAGCCCAATGCAGGTCTTCATGTTATAATCCGTTCTAGGGTAGGCAATTGGTGGGTCCCTACTGACTACACTGTCATATTTGTGTCTATCTTTGCTTGTACTTTTCCCCAAGTTAGATGTCATACAGGCATTTTGCTCACAGAGCAAGTTTACTTGCTCTTCTTTGCATTACACACCGGGCAATAGAGACAAGAATGCAGTTTGCAAGGGTGGCAGCCAGGGATAGGAGCTGACCCTCTATAATAGCTGCCACCTCAATAATCAGTCTGCCCTCAGAGTTTCCCTCTCCATAGTGTCAAGTGAGCACACTTAAGAAAGAGAAAGAAAATGTGTGTACAACTTGCTTAACTTTTTTAACTTCAAACTTTATCATTCACAAACATGAGGGCAGCAGTAATTACATATCTCATGAGGTGCTTGTGAGGAATAAATTAGAGGAGCTTGAAAAGTTACCGAAGAGGGGTCGATGAGAGCATTTGGTGGAAAGTGCTAGTCAGTTCATACGAGGTCTGACAGGGCAGCAGCGGTCCAGGTCCCACAAGTGGAGTCACTGGGAGGGCACGTCATTCCTAATTGGACTTCAGGCTCAGTAATCTAGAGAAGGGAGGGATGTAAAACATTTAGCCCAACTCTTCATGTTTAAATTAAATTCTAACTAAGTCAGAATTAGCATTTAAAACTAATTTTGAGGCATTTGGGAAACTTTTTTCCCAAAAAAATAATTAAAATAACTTTTTTTTTTCTCTTACAGGATTAGATTTATTTCCTTTCTTAGACAATCAGGTATGTAATATGGGGGGAAAATGCTATATTTTAACATTGAAAAGTATAATATATAGCCAAGAGGAAAAAAATAAATTTTATTAGAAAATTCACGGTAGTCATATCTGTTACTGTATTGTTAAAGTTTTAATTAAGAATTTAAATCAGAACCCATTGTCAGCTGTGCCTGAGAATGTAGAAAGGACGGCATCCAACGGGAGTGAATCGTATTGATTAATACTTTTTTTAATCCTCACCTGAGGACATGTTTATTGATTTGAGAAAGAGAGGGAGGGAGGGGGGAGAGAGAGGAAGTGAACCAGCAATGTGACAGAGAAACATTGATTGTTTGACTTCGTACATGCCTAGAGCAGGCACCAAGGTATGAATCCTGACCTAGATTTGAACTGGTAACCTTTTGGTGTACAGGACCACACTCCAGCCAATTGAGCCACCCAGCCTGGGCTTTACCGGCCAACTAGCTCCATAAGAAAAATAGGGTAGACTCTCTTTTCTGCTACTTCTGTGTGTGTGCCAGTTTGGAAATACAATTTTGAAAATTGCTTTCAATACAAATTAAAACAAAAATAATTTTTTTTTCTGTTTCAGATAAAAAAAAATGTCTCAGGATCAATAATTTGATCATTTCATAAGGCCATTTGATTTTACAGAATGGTTTTTGTTTTTATTTTTGTCTAAAGTTTTGCATATGTCCCATTTTTCCCCAATTGACACCTTCCCACAGCATTCCCGCCCTGGGCAAGCCCCCACCGCCCCAGTGTGATTTTGCAAAATGTTTTAATAAATACTTCAAAAAAAAAACCCAGGTCCTCAGAATATATTAAAGTTAGGACTTTGTTCTGCCGAGAGAAAGCTTATGAATGTGTAAGTCTAATTAACATTTGTTTTGTCCTTTCTCCCCTCCCTAGCATTATAACACCTCCCTCCTGGCCGCTGCAGCGGCGGCAGTTTCGGATGATCAAGACCTCTTACATTCTTCTCGGTTTTTTCCATATACCTCGTCCCAGATGTTTCTTGATCATTTGAGTGCAGGAGGCAGTACTTCTCTGCCAACCACCAATGGAAGCAGCAGTGGCAGTAACAGCAGCCTTGTGTCCTCCAACAGCCTGAGGGAGAGCCACAGCCACACGGTCACCAACAGGAGCAGCACGGACACAGCGTCCATCTTTGGCATCATACCAGACATTATTTCATTGGACTGAGTTCCTTGCCCCTGCTGCTCTCATCCCCACCCCAGATTAAGTGAACTTGGCAGAAAGGAGAGAACTTTGTGCTATGTTTTACCTTACTCTGTTTAGAAAAGTACACAAGCGTGTGTTTTTTTCCTTTTTTTAGGGAAAAAAATTAAAAGAAATGTACAGAGAACAAAACTATATTTTCAGTTTTACTTTTGTATATAAATCTAAGACTGCCTGTCTGATATAACACTTGTAAAAATAAACCAAAAAAAGGAAAGAAAAGGAAAAAAAGAAAAAAATAACAAGTACCCACAAAACACCTTCAGTTCAATTTTCTGGATTCTGAAGTTTGTTTTTTGTTTTGTTTTTTTTTTCCATCATTTGTCCTATGGTTTTGGTGTTATTTTACTTCAATGGCATTATTTTATTTGCAATAACAAAAGGAATTGCATGTATGAAGTTTTAAATTGTGGGCTTTTCTTCGTTGTGGGGAGGGAGCTGGGGGCATAGTTTTAATTTCCATTTTCTAAAAATGACAGACTTGAGTTTTGTTCGTGTGTGCACATTTTATCCAGCCTTAAGTTATAAATCTCATCTGTCCCACTGCATTCCCTGTGTATTTTCAGGACATAGCTCATGAATGTGTGTTTCCAGTGTGTGCGTCTGCGTTTTTCTGTCATCACCGTTCCTTCTCTTCCCGAGTTTGTATTCAGTTGATAATCAGTTGCCTGCTTCTTTCAAACTGCTTTGAAGTTCTTGAACTCACGTAGGAGCATCTTTATTGACTATTCCAATTGCATGTTCTCCATATCACAGATTCCCCCTTATTTGCTAGATACCCCTGAGAATATGTTTTTAGAGGCTGGAGTAAAGCTGTCTGGGTAAAGGGGTAGGCTTAGCAGACCTGTGAATAATATGCTTTAGTCTAGCTCTTTACTCTAAATTTGGATTGCCAGTATTATGCACTTAAACAAAGTCTGTGAACACCTACTTTTTTAGCCACAGGGTAACGACTTCTTGTAAGATCTGCATACCAAAGTAGGAAGTAAAAATAGCTTAGACAGCCCTGTTGTGTTTCTTGTGCAGCTGACAGAGAGATAAGGTTGCATTACCTCCCCCCAGAAAAAGAAGAAAGTCAATTATCCTAAAAGTATATTCTCTTCAGACAATACAATGCACCATACGTGTCAATCTGTAGAAACCTGCTATCTGATCAACAGCTGAAATTCAAAATGGGTTTGATTCTTAGTCATTTTATTCTTTGGCTCTGAGTGTGCTCAGTTGCTTAGCTATCTTGTTTGTTTTCCACCTTTTAAAAGACAAACATGGCATAGGAAAGTCAGGTATGTGTTTTTGTTTTTAGAATTCATGGATCAGTCTATTCTTATTAATAATGCAACATGTAAATATCGACAACTGTTTTCAGGAGATGAGTGAGAGCTGGAGGGAAGGAAAAGTTCTACTTGTGTTCCACCATCCGCCTCAGAGAAGGTTATACCTTTTTCAGGTGATAACGGAGTCTGGGAAAGATTTTTAGCTGATGAGAGGTCTAGCAGGTTAAACAGAACAGATCAGGAAGGGGCATCACAATGACCAGTTTTCCGGACTGGATCTCGTATCACAACTGTTAGTTCTCAGAGCTGATGAAGGGCCCGCCACCTTTGTGTGTAACGTTGTTTTAAACCTTGCAAAACGACCTCCTGTGTTCCAGATAGACTTCAATATGGTGGTTATCTTTGGTTGTATGATAAGATTACTGCTCACATGACTGTGGCATCTAAAAATAATATGTTTCTTACAGCATCTCTCTGCCACTAAATTGTTGACTTGAATTTTGAAAAACAAGTTAATGTTGATATGTATATGTGTGTGTGTATATATGTATTTATAGACAAGTGTGTGTGAGTGACAAATATAGTCTTCCCCAAGGCATGTATATTCCACACATACATGGCTGAGTTAGTCACTAAACAATTTGCAATAAAAAAAAAAAGATTTGTTGGTTAAAGCAGGAAGTAGTTAAATTTTAAAATGAATCTGGTGTTATGGTGAGTAAATACTTTAAGAACTCTCATTACCATATTAACTTAGGCTAATACCTAATAGTATAATTTGTCTAAATTGAGATTGGGATACAAATTACTTAAAATTATGGGGAGTTGCTTTTTCACATTGCAATAAGAAACATTTCTATTCAACTATATAAGATAAAATTAATAGTTTTCTACGTTTTTGGTTTTTTCTGTCATTGATGTTAGTGGTCTCAAAATTCTCATCAGTAACTTTGTATGATGCTGAATTACAAACTCTGAATGATCCAGTTGGAAACCTGTCCCTTGACTTTCTTCAGCCAGTTTTAGAGAGGGTTGATTTCCCCTCCGTGTCCTGCATTTAGCCACCCCACGGGAAGAATGGGTGATAGGAGAAGTAAATGTCTGTCTAGTTAGTGGCTTTGGTCATGTCTCTGCAGGAGAAACCATTCATTGTCTCTTTATTTTAGTTCATTCTACTAGAAGGAGTCTATTCCCTTCAGTTGCTGACTTTTCAAAATGTTGGTGTTAGTAGTAGCTATTACTTTGTTGGTCTCATGGCCAATATTAGAATTTCATGATCTGTAGTAATTATTAGTAGAGCCATGCACTGTATCTTTTAAGTTTTTTTTTAAGTATATAGTCATTTCATCTCTTTATTCCTTAGCCCGCCCACTCCTCCACGTATGGAGAATTAGTGATTCTCAGAATCTTTAGGCAAGTTGTCACCATCTCCCTTGCCTTGGTCTTTCATAATAGGTGTGCATATGTTTGCGTTTCTGTATAGTATTGTATGTGTGTGTATCACACATATTTGGTAAAATAGCTGTTTGACTAACAGGATTGAAGTGGCTTTTTAGTTATTTTGTGGGCATTATTGGACACCTTTTTAAAGCAATCTGAAGTTTAACCATGCCACACTTGGTTGACTAATTTATTTTGAACATTAAGTTTTTTTCTATATTAATTTAGACATTATCACAATTCTGTATCATTAGCAACTTAGGAAAGATTCACTCAAGCTTCTGAAAAATGGGATACCTTGGCAAATTCTGCTTTGAGTCAAATGTTTGAAGCTGAATGAAAACATCCCAATTTTAATTTCTAATATTGAACATTTTTAAATAATTCCAGTTTTTAGTACATAAAACACTTTAAGATCTTCAGGACTTTTAGAGCACATTTGAAATTATTTTAGTAAGAGTTTTGTTTTATCAATATATGTTGAATTTTGTTTTATAATTAAAAATAAACCAACACAAAACCACAAAGCTTAGATTTCAGCAAGAGGGAGGGAGATTAGCTGGTGGTCCCAGAGTGTGCTGCTGTTAATTGTTTAATTAACAAAGGGGAAATGTATATAAACATTTATATAAAAGTTATCATAAATTCCATAAACTTAAATCTGTGATTCATTGCCTTAAGACTTTCTCTCTTAGAATTTCCATACCGCATGCCAAACCAGTAAAATGGCTTTTAAAAATGTATAGTAAACCAATGTCAGTTTGTATAAAAGTACCAAGTGAAGATATTTATTACATGCATTGGAAAAAAATTTGTTTACCTATTGAATGTTACCTGTTTATGTAGAGCTCTTTAGATGTAATAAAAGAAAAGCCTTCAGTTAATTTGTCTTCTGTAAAATACACTGCTGGGTGTGCAAGGGGACAGTCTTAAGAGAAAGGCCATATGCTTTGTGCTTCCAAAGCACCTTTCATCCAGAGATTTCAAAGCATGACGGGTAATTCTTTAGTAACATGCTTTGAGGTAAGTAATGAATGTACAGTCATCATTCCCCTTATTGAAATATGGTTGGCTTTGTAATGAACCGCAGCATGTTTTGTTTTAAACCTGTTTAATAATCTGCAATTTGAGAGCTAAAAGCTACAGTTGCCTTTTTTTTTTCTTCTTTTTTTCTTTTTCTTTTTTTTTTTTTTGTAGACAATACTCTGTGCTAGATAAACCAACTGAAATTCCAGGAATGAGCATAAAGCCTGGACATGGGGTGGTGTAAAATCCGTTTCTGGAATAGAGGTTTAGATCAGAGAGGCCTCACGGGACTTTAGGACCCCAGCCACTGAAGACCCTTAATTAGGGGCACTGGTCAGTGGCGCTGAACCCAGGTTCTAATGAGCATTTCTCAGCACCTAGTGTGTTTGGGGAAGCTACACCTCAGAGATTCCTGTTAGGCAAATCAGATGAAAAGTTACTTTAAACCATACTTGGGCCCTGGCTGGGTTGCTGAGTTGATGCAAGTGTCATCCCGTACATCAAAAGGTGGTGGGTTCCAATTCTGGTCAGGCACATACCTGTGTTGAGGGTTGGATCCCTGGTCAAGAGTGTGAGGGGGGGCAACTGATGGATGTTTCTCTTTAAAAAAACATACTGAGGCCATTTCATTTATCGGACAAAAGGCTTTAAGGTAAAGTACCCTCACTTAGAGCTCGGGACTTCCTTGCCCGATTTCATCTAAACCTCAGGTGTCTACTGTCTAATCCTTGGTATTCCAGGTTGGCTGTGCAGGATTTGCTTCCTAACGTCCAAGATGAGTTCACAGGAGATGTGGGCGAAGGCCCTTGCTCCGTGGCTGGAAGTGAAATAAAGCAGTTCTCCACGTTGCTGGTTAGCAGCACCTAGCCAGCCCTCGGGGACCTACCACGATGGTAACGAGGTTTCTGCACCTGGCCCTCGCTGGGCCCTGGGAGCAGTGCTGCCACGCCCCTGTTTCTATTTTTATATTCTTAAAGAAGGCTGCCAAATGGTACACCCTGACACCCCACAAAGCCTGGTTCTGCTCCGGCACAGGGTGAGCCTGCGCTCCCAGCTAGACAATCAGCTTCACCTACTTGGTTGTCTGGGCCCCTTCCTGTCGCCCTCCTCAGAACCCTTCTCTACAGCTTCTAGGAATTCCTACTCTCGTTGGCAGTCACTCTGTGGTGAGATCATTGCACTAAAACGGACGGGTCCCCTGCCGTTTCCCTGGTGGCTGGCCCTTGTGTTTGTGCCTTGAATAGCCTCCCAGAAGACATCTCCCTCGGTTTGGTTTTCTTTTGCTTTCGCCACTGAGCACCGTTAGACAAAGCCACAGCCCAGAGAGCCCAGTTTTGATACATATAAGGACGAAAATCTCTGTACTTAGAACGCTACCCCCAACATGCCAGTGTGGGACTCCAACCCTTTTTAGGGCAGGGCTGACACCACTGGATCCACAAATTGGATGAGCACACACACGCCACCAGCCGGCGCCTCCTGGCTGCAAAACTCAGCTAATTGACCCGGCAGGACCAGTACCCCTACTGCTAAGGCTCTTGCTGTATCATGGCAATGGCCCGTTACATCCCCTTATTACTTCCCATTAGTCATGGGAAATGGCTTGGAGCCATGATCAATTTGACCCACGTGAGCAGACCCATCCCATTCTTGTGAACCTCTCTGATCACAGGCTGGGGGAGCTGGACATTCTGACAGGAGCATCAGAAAGGGCTTTCCACCATAGTGAGGCTCAGTGGATAGAGCCTCAGCCCGTGGACTGAAGGGTCCCGAGTTCGATTCTGGTCAAGGGCACATGCCCAGGTTGTGGGTTCTATCCCCAGTAGAGGGCATGCAGGCGGCAGCTGATCAGTGATTCTCATCATTGATGTTTCTATCTCTCCCTCTCCCTTTCTCTCTGAAATAAAAATACATTTTTATAAAAAGAAACAACTTCTTTAGCACATATATTTAAGAGAAGAAAAAAGGCTTTCCCAGTTCTGCGAGGCCTGGGTCACATTGGTTTCCTCTGGTGCGGAAAGTCAGATCCTTCTGCCCACTGTTGAGCGGAGGCTGCCTTGTTTTACCTGGTCCCCACCCTGGACTCTGTGTCTGTGAATGAATCTGGATGGTGTCACTGTGTGAGGAGATGGGAATGAGAATCTGTAAGTGGCCCTGTGCTACTGCAAGAAATATTGCCATCGTTTGTTTGTTTGTTTGTTTTAGCTCTGCTTGTTGCTATTTCTCAGCCGGCACTGGCTTTGTCTTAGAAATGTGGAAGATGGTTCCAGCACCCAGATATAGAATGCAGCCTTTTGGTTGATTGCCCTTCGCAGAAACACTACCATGGAAACTCAGAATGGCACAGAGCTCTCCAGTTTGCAAAGACATTTTCAAGTCATTAACTCAGACCATCCTTAGCAGGCTCCATGAGGTAAGAATGAGGAATCTGCTTGGCTGGCGTGACTCAGTGGTTGAGCATCAACCTATGAATTAGGAGGTCATGGTTCAATTCCTGGTCAGGGCACATGCCCAGGGGCTTGATCCCGAGTAGGGATGTGCAGGAGGCAGCCGATCAATGATTCTCTCTCATCATTGATGTTTCTATCTCTCTCTACCTCTCCCTTCCTCTCTGAAATCAATAAAAATATATTTAAAAGAAAAAAAAAGGAATCTAACGTTAGTGAAGATTCTAAGGCTCTGAGCTGTGAAATGCTTGGCCCAAAGTCAGACAGCTGGGGAATGGCAGAGTCAGGACTGGAACCCAGGCCCATCTCCAAACCAGAGGCTCTTTCCAAGCTGTAAAGGGCTAAACAAATGGCAGTTATTAAAATTATTAGGGGTGGGTGGGGGTAAGCGGAAGAGATCAACCAAAGGACTTGTGTGCATGCATCTGGGCCTAGCCAGTGGCCATGGAAAACAGGGGGGTGGAGGCATATGTAGGGAGGGGTTTGGGATGGGAATGGGGGGGATAAGGACAATTATGTGAGACCATAATCAATAAAATAAATTAATTTAAAAAATTAACTATCTTCTATTAAGGACATGCTGATACCATAGCCGAAATCATTTATTTTCATTGCTACGTTATCCTCTGCTACCGTCGGAGAGCGCCATGCCGCTGTGCTGTCTCCCTAGAGTGAAAGGAACACTTTTCTTGTTAAAATTCCATCCGCTGGTTTTCAGGCCCAGGGGAGGCTCTCTTGCATCCTCTCCATTCAGTAGTCGGGCACAGGAATGGCGATCTTCTGGATAAATTCATCATACTTCACTTTGCCGTTTGGGTCTATATTTGCTTCTCTGAAAAGATCATCCACTGCAATAAATCACATTAATTTTTCAATTCAGCTTTGCTGCTATGGTACAGGGCATCGAGTTCTTGGGTGTTGGGGCTCCCCAGAGGTGTTCCCTGAGTGTCCAGTTGACTGTTCACATAGACCAAGAATCAGACAGCCAACAGACCAGAACAAGCCACCCCCAACCTGAGACCACGGATACCACTCTGAGTTCATCGGATTTCACTGAAGCCAATTTTGTCAGTTTTGAAAGAAAACGCCCTATATTTCTGGTACCTGAAGTTCCAGAAATCTTTGGCATGGGTTTGGCCTCCCACAGCTCACCCTCCAGCTTCCCAGCTGATCGGGCCCCCTCGGCAGCTCCATCCTGGGCCACCATGGCCGGGCTTTGGCCTGCCTGGCCTGCCTGCCTTCCCTTCCAAATGGGCACGCCCCACCCCAAGAGAGGACTTGGTGACAAGTGGTGTCGCCACCCTCACCTCTTTTTAAAAGTCTGTGTTTGGGGGATAGGGATACTTGGAGAGAAAATAAACTCAACTGTGTCTAAAGCTGAAAGGGTACACAACTGCCATTGCTGCCAAAACCGGTTTGGCTCAGTGGATAGAGTGTTGGTCTGTGGACTGAAAGGTCCCAGGTTCGATTCTGGTCAAGGGCATGTACATTGGTTGCAGGCACATCCCCAATAGAGGGTGTCCAGGGGGCAGCTGGTCGATATTTCTCTCTCTTTGATGTTTCTAGCTCTCTATCCCTCTCCCTTCCTCTCTATAAAAAATCAATAAAATATATATTTTTTTAAAAAACAAAAAACCTGCCATTGCCCTCTATGATGCTGCTCCAAAAATATCGCTTTGTTTACTTGTTTCTTCTGGTTCTGGATTCCTGGCACAAAATACTAGTTTGTCCCAGATCTCGGCAAGAAGGACCATTTTGGTGCTCGCTTTGGCAGCACGTATACTAAAACTGGAGCGACGCAGAGATTAGCATGGCCCCTGCACAAGGATGACACACGAATTGGTGAAGCATTCATATTTTTTTTAAAAAAAAGAAGGGCCATTTCAGTTTATATGAAGAGGGCCGCCTGAGAAGGCACATGGACATTCTTTAAATTGTCTCCACAGAGCCTCTCAGAGCCAATCTACCGTTGGCGCTTTGAAAAATCCTGACCTTCTTGCAAAAACTGCCTCCCTGCCCTGTGTCAGCTTCCTCAGCCCTAGACCTCCCGACAGTAATGCCCGGCAGTTAGAAAACATCCTGATTCTCTGCTTGGCAGCCCCCTCCAGAACGTAATTACTGTGCTCCACGCCCAAGCCGCCTGTGGTGCCGGGTATTTTTAGAATGTGGAGAATGCTAAGTTATCTTCATGGTTCCAACCATCCCAGTGGACAGGTCCGACACCAGCTCAGAGCCACCACTGAACAGCCTCCAGTCCAGAGCCAACCACTGAGCAGCCTCCGGTCCAGAGAAGGGGCCTCAGCGGATAGCCAGGCGCTGGGTCTGCCTGTCGGGTGGTTTGCCATTCACGGTGAACCCAGAAAGAACCAGAATGCCGGCCCCAGCCTATCCCAGGCTTAAAAAGGAGCCCTCCCTGACAGCCTTCAGCTGCTCCAAGGATGCTCCTTCGTAAGATGGATTTCCTTTCAATCACCTAGAGTTCAAGGTTCTACTTCTAGGACCATTTTCCCTGTCTCCCTCAGCCAAACGAAGGGAAACCGGTCTCACAGCTTGTCAGGAACACACTGCCATTTTCCTTAAAAGGTTTCTTGACTGGTTGAACGAGTGAGGGACGTGGATGAGTTTGGGGCCCGGGCTATGACTTGAGACAGGGATCGTGAACCATAAGAAGGAAGCCCCGCTGGCCCTCTCTGCTAGCCCTCCTCCTGGCACCTCACAGGCCGAGAGGAGTCCTGCGAGCCTGGGAGGGAGGGCGGCCCCTGGTCCCCCCGCTCGGTTAGAACAGCGGCAGTGACAGTGAAAGGCGGGACAGCGCCAGCCTGGAGGAGTCTGCTCCTGTCACGGTGTGTAAATGCCGTGTGCTGAGCCTTGGTCCACTTTATAGAATGTTAGCCCTTGGGGGACCTGAGGGATTGCCTATTGGAACCTCATTTCCCAACAAGGAAGCTGAGGAGGGTGAGTGAGGTTAAGGAACCTGTCGGAGGCCCAGCCAGTGTGGCTCAGAAGTTGATGTTTGATCTATGAACCAGGAGGTCATGGTTGGAGTCCTGGTCAGGGCACATGCCTGGATTGCAGGCTCAATCCCCAGTGGGGGGGGGGGGGGGGGCATGCCAGAGGCAACAATCAAGTATTCTCTTTCATCATTGATTTTTTATTTTTAAAATATATTTTATTTATTTTTTTTTACAGAGAGGAAGAGAGAGAGAGAGTTAGGAACATCGATGAGAGACATCAATCAGCTGCCTCTTGCACACCCCCTACTGGGGATGTGCCCGCAACCAAGGTTCATGCCCTTGACCAGAATCGAACCCTGGACCTTTCAGTCCGGAAGGCTGACGTTCTATCCACTGAGCCAAACCGGTTTCGGCTCATCATTGATATTTATATCTCTCCCTCTCCCTTCCTCTCTGAAATCAATAAAACGTAAAAAAAAAAAAAAAAAAAAAAAAAAGAAAGAGAGAGAGAGAGAGAGAGAGAGAGAGAGAGAGGGAGGGAGGGAGGGAGGAAGGAAGGAAGGAAGGAAGGAAGGAAGGAAGGAAGGAAGGAAGGAAGGAAGGAAGGAAGAAAGAAAGAAGGAAGTCTGAGGTCCTCCAGGATGAGCAGGAGCCAGGATTCAAATCTAATTCCAACCACAACCTGCAACCCCTCCTGGTTTGCTGTGATTTAACCCAAGGCCCCACATTACTGAGGCCTGTTTCCTCCACCCACTGTCCCAGCAGCATGAGGAGAAATCCCAGCCTCCGGGGCTGGTGGTGTGGACTCTGGGTGGTGACTCTAAATGGCAGCTGTGGTCGGACCCAGGGGCCAGCGGGCAGGCAAATGGCCCAGGATTGGGGTCGCCGTTAACCACATGCGAAGGGATTTCCCAGAAGACCCGGCCCCGTGACCTGCTTGAGGCAGGAAGGCACACTGGGCTGCGGGGGGTCCGAGGCAAGGGCCTCTCATGGGCCCTGTGGCCAGCAGTCATTGGGAAAAGCTGTTAGAGCTGGTGGCGTCATGAGGAGAGGGAACAAAGCAGCATCTCAGGCCCAGCCAGCGTGGCTCAGTGGTTAGCATCAACCTATGAACCAGGAGGTCATAGTTCGATTCCTGGTCAGGGCACATGCCTAGGTTGCTGGCTTGATCCCTTGTGTGGGGCATGCAGGAGGCAGCCAATCAATGATTTGCTCTCACAGTTGATCTTTCTTTCTTCCTTCCTTCCTTCCTTTCATTCTTTTTTAAAATATATTTCAGAGTGGAAGGGAGAGGGAAAGAGAGAGAGAGAGGAATCGAACCTAGGACCTTTCAGTCCGCAGACACTCTAATCCACTGAGCCAACCATCTAGGGCCATCACTGATGTTTCTGTCTTTCTCTTCCTTCCTTTCTCTGAAATTTAAAAAAAAAAAAAAATATATATATATATATATATATATATATATATATATATATATATATATATATATATATTTATATTTTAAGTAGCATCTCAGTTTGGACACCTGGCAAGAGCAGCAACTTCAGAAAACAGCTGTGCGAAGAAGAGCCTGAGATGGGCAGAGGGTGGGGAGATAGGGGAGGGTGGGGAAGGGAGGGGAAGGGGGAGGAAGGGGAGGGGGGCAGTAGAAGAGGGCGGAGGAGTGTCTGTGACCTACGTGCAACTCCCAGCTCTGCTACCGCAAGCCACTCAGTTCACCTGTGTCTGTGTGTGTGTGTGTGGGGGGGGGGGGGGGGGGTCACTAGTGTTCCCAGGGGTGTCGTAGCTCTAAATAAAGGCCCACGGTGAAAGCTTACATTCAGGGCGAGGCCCAAGGAGCTCCCACTGCGTTTCCCAGGCCATCTCTTCGCCCTGTCCGATTGCTCCCACTCCCCCGGTCCTGGCTCTTCCTCGGACTCCAGCCCAGAGCTCACCCTTCTGGCCCCCCAGTCGCAGCCTCAGGGGGCGGGCATGAAGCGGGGTGTCCGCACCGTCCCGGGGCCGTGGATTGGGCCCCCAGTCCCCTCCTGCTGCAGGGAAAGAGGGACAGGCCGTTACCTTCCTTGTGGGTGAGCTTCTCCCCCAGCTTCGTGAGTTTGGACCGCAGCTCCGACGCCATGATGTAGCCCTTCTTCTCCTTGTCCGCCATCAGCATGGCCAAGAGAATCTCTTTCTTTGGGTCCTCTTGTTTGATTTGCATGTGCATCATGGTCAGGAAAGTGGAGAAATCCAGCTCCCCGTTTTTGTCTAGGAAACCCCAAACACAGCAGAGTGAGCCAGAGGGAAAGGCTCCCCGCCCGCCTCCTGCCCAGCGCGCGCGGCCGGCTCCGGGGCCGCGGGGCTCAGGAAGGCCCTGCTGGTGGCGGTGAGGAGGATCAGCCCTCTCCCCAGGTCCCACCTCAGATCTGCCTCCGGGCCCCCTCCCAGCATCGCTCAGGGCCGGTGGGTGTCATCTCCCCACGCTGCCCCCCGAGGAGGCAGGAGCTGCGAGGGGCAGTGCCTCCCGGAGCGCCCCCGCCGCTGCTCCCTTCCGGAGCTGCTCTGGCGCCCTGCACCGGAGGCCATACATCTCCGTCCACCCCTCAGCAGCCACCCCTGACCCCACAGGGAGGGACGGGGACCCCACCGGGCCTCAGGCCCAGTCCCACCTGGGCTGGTTGCTTGCTTTTCCCCTCCCTGCAACCACCCAGCTCCCCAGCCCAGGCCCCTCCTCTGGGCATGTGTGGGGGCCTCGGCCCTGGCCTGGCCCGGGTACGATGGCAGGAAACTGGAACTTCCCCTGACCACAGCTTCCTGTCTGGAGACGGTAACCAAAGGAAACCGCCACCCCTCGGCGGTCACTGAGCGCCTGTCCCTGGGCTTTCGGCCTGCAGAAGCCGCCCAGCCTGGCCACCCAGCGCTGCTGCACTCCGCTCTGAGGGGACCTTAGGGTAACCCCAGAAGACGGTGGGGAAACTGAGGTCCAGGTGGCTCTGGATCGAGTGGTCTTTCCAGGCCACTCCCCTTCTCAGGGCCAGTCTTTCCTTCCTGAGTGTCCAGCTGCCGAGGCCTCTGACACTCTCTTGTTTCTTTAAAAAAACAAACACCCAACTTGTTTGTTTCTGGTTATAAAAGTCCTATATGCTCCCTTTGTCAAAAATACAGGGAACAGCCGAAACCGGTTTGACTCCATGGATAGAGCGTCGGTCTGCGGACTGAAAAGTCCCGGTTCGATTCCGGTCAAGGGCATGTACATTGGTTGTGGGCTCATCCCCGGTGGGAGGTGTGCAGGAGGCAGCTGATTGATGTCTCTTTCTCATCGATGTTTCTAGCTCTCTATCCCTCTCCCTTCCTCTCTGTAAAAAATCAATAAAATATATATTTTTTAAAATACAGGAAACAACAATAAAGGGGATGAAAATCATCCATGATCCCAGCGCCTAGAGATCTACTTGGCTGGGTTTTCTTCCACTTTTTCCCCTCTCATTGTTTTTAGAAGGTCAGTCAGGTCCTAACTGATGTAGCTCAGTGGATAGAGCATTGGCCTTTGGATTGAAAGGTCCCAGGTTCGATTCCTGTCAAGGGCATGTATCTTGGTTGCAGCACATCCCCAGTAGGAGGAGTGCAGGAGGCAGCTGGTCGATATTTCTCTCTCATCAATGTTTCTAAGTCTCTATCCCTCTCCCTTCCTCTCTGTAAGAAATCAATAAAATAAAAAAATTATACACACACACATATACACATGTTGGAAATCAAAAGAATTGGGCTCCAACTCTGATTCTGAACCCTAGTCTTTACCTGTAAAACAGCGCCTTCTCCACCGGGTGGTTTGCACTAAGCACATGACACGTACTCAGAAAGGGAAACTGTTCTGGCGAAGCCATTTGGGGGTCACTGTTACACTTTCTTGACTGCAGAGTTTGGAACCTTGGTCCCAGGGCGCTCTGTGAGTGAGGTGTCACCACTGCTGTGAGGATTCAGGGACCCTGAGTGATGCACAGCACACCTGGCCAAATGCCTCCACAGCTCCCGGCTGGAGACCTCTGACTACCACCAGCATGCCTAACCTCTGACCTGTCTTCACATCCACCACCTGTACCCACTGCGGGCTCTTCCCAAGGACCACAGCTGCCGGGCTCAAGGCCCACCCCCCAGGCCAGCCCAGCCCAGCCCACTCACCTATCTTGTGAGTCTGCAGGTGCCGCTGCACCTCCCCTGGTGTAGGGCTGGCCCCCAGGCACCTCATCGCCACTATGAGGTCCGTGGCTTTTATCTTCCCCCGCTGTTGCTTGTCATACAGGGAGAAGCATTCCTTGTACTCTGTGCACAGCCAGGAGGGAGAATCAGGAGCCCTCCTTCACTCACATCCCCCCTCCCCCCCACACACACCCTCTATTCCCTCCTCCCCTTTCTTTTTCCATCACAAATAAAAATACAGGACTGCCACGTTCAATTGAACTTCCAATAAATAATGAACATATCTACTGTCTATAGAGGCCTGATGCACGAAATTCATTCAAGGAACTCAGCCCTTGCAGTCCCACCTGCCTCAGCCCTCGCACCCTGGCTTCTGCTGGAAGGTCATCCCAAAGGTTGTCCAGAAGATCATCTGACAGTCATTCTGCTATTCAGCCTAATTAGCATATTAGCTCTTTATTATATAGGATAAAAGCCCAATATGCAAATTGACCTTTTGAGAGTTCAACCAGGAGACCAGGAGTTCGATCACTTGCTATGATATGCACTGACCACAATGGGGGTGGTGCAGAACAAAGGAAGGCCCTGGCTGGCAGCTGGAAGGTCCCAATCATCCCTGATCAGCAGCCACACCTAGGGGCCCTATCCATGCATGGATTTCGTGCACTGGGCCTCTAGTATATATATAAAAGGCTAACATGCTAAGTATCCAACCGTCCAAATGATTGCTATGATACACCTGACCACCAAAGGCCAGATGTTCAATGCAGGAGCTTCCATGAGATGCACTGGCCATTTACAGGAAAATGGCACTGTGGACCTGGCACCCACAAAGCAATACTCAACTTCCCCCAAGTGCAACACAGGCCCCGCCACCACCCTGGAGCAATAGCCCACCAAATCACAGCCAACTCTGCCAAGACCCATGGTGCAAAATGTGTCCCATAGCCCAACCCAGCCCAGAAACGTTGTCTATGGATGCCAGGTAATGACGTCACGTAGCAACTCCAGCTTCCTCTCCCTAGTGACTAGCCTCCTTATAGTTTCTTCAGCCCAGGAACATGACTTGCTTTATAGCCAGGTGGAAACATTTTACACTTTAACCAAATGTCTGTGAAGTGTTTTCCCATGCCTCATCTCATTTGATCCTCACAGAAGTCCTGGAATAGATAGGATGGGGGACTCGGTGGAATCCTGTTTTCTTTTCATTAGCCAGAAAATAGAGATTTAGAAATGTGACCCGACTGAAAAGAAATGATGGGCCTTGAAAATGACTTCAGGTTTTCTCACTGCAAAGAATATAGTCAAACACTGATACAGTTAAATATTTTACCCTTGGATCTCCCTGCGTGATCTATAATAATAATCTGCTTTGGGTTGATATTTACTGCTGTGTTGCTTACAATGACCTGAAAGAGAAGTTGGGGTGCTTCTCTTTAGCTAAGTCAGAAAGCAGGTCTAATTAAGCAAGTTTATATACATATATATATATATATATATATATATATATATATATATATAAAGCTCTTGCTGGCGCCTATCGCACACGTGTGTTTTGATCTGTCATTGTTGATTGTGAATTTGGTTGAGACTTCCATTATAGAGAAAGGGTGAATAGCAATATTAAAATATTTCTTCTAATTAATTTCCTTTCAATGTGCACTGGGTCACTAGTTTTTAGTATAAATATGTCTCAAATTTTTGCACAGGATACACTTAAACCAAAAAATACTTGTTGCCTGGCTGGTGTTGCTCAGTGGTTGAGCATCAACCCATAAACCAAGGGGTCACTGGTTCAGGGCACATGCCTGGGTTGTGGGCTTGATCCTCAGTAGGGGGCCTGCAGGAGGCAGCTGATTGATGTTCTTTTTCATCTATATTTCTATCTCTCTATCCTTAAGAATGTCTTAAAAATAAATAAATAAATAAATAAATAAATAAATAAATAAATATTTGTTGTTTCTCTGACATTTAAATTAAACTGAGTGTCCTGCATTTTATCTGTCAATTCTGTCCCTGCCTTCTCCCATTCCTCCTGCTCCCTTTCTCTCCTTTCTTCCCCGCTTCCTTTCCCTCCTTCCCCTTCCTCTGCTCCCCCTTTTCTCCCTCCCACAACTGACTCAAACCACTGGGAAGCTGTCCGGCCCTCTAGGGCCAGTCCAGGGAGAGAAGGAGCCCACCGCAGGGCATCCAGACACCCAGGGGACCTTTGCAAAGACAACTTGTGTGGGAAAGGGAGACAATAATGCCTCTGGGTCACTGAGACGACCAGAAATCCCCCCTGGGAAGTCCTGGCAGACAGTGGCTCTCACGTGGGGTGACAATGACTACAATTATGGGCACTTCTGAGTCCACTGCTCCAGACCCCGCCTCCAGGCTGAACTCTGAAGCTGTCACTGACCCCAGCCCTGGGTCTGCTCCTAGCGACCTGGGGACAGGGGCCCAGAATGTCTTCTCAGCTCTGAGGAGAACCCGCTGGCAGCTCCCTTCCAACCCTTTCTCCCTTAATGGGGACGAAACTGGCTCAGGAGCTGAGGCCTCTGGAGCCCGGTCTCACAGCCCAGCGGATCAGGGCCCGATCAGCCCCTCTGCCCCCAGCTCCCAGCTCCGGAGGAACACCCCCAGGCCCTCCCGAAGAGATTGGGACTCCAGGGCCTCTGCCTGGGGGGCGGGGCAGGGGTGGGTTGAGGGAGGGGGCGGGGCAGGGGTGGGGTGAGGGAGGGCGGGGGTGGGGGGGGGGGGGGGGGACTGTGACTTGAGAAGCGAGGGGCATGCCAGTGATGCACCTCCTCCCAGGGAGTGTGTGATTGCTCCGTCTGATGAGTGACCTGCTGTTGCATCAGTGCTTACCCCACACACATGGCACTCATTAAACTCAAACCTCCTTCAACTCTTCAGCTCTGCTGACTGCAAGAGGGCCATCTTTAAGGCTTTTTTGTTTTGTTTTCATGAACGCAGGGGTTGGAACGTTGTTTGATCTTACATTATTTAATAATGGCTGATTTTAACAACAAGCTCACAACATTTCTAAAGCTCCTGCTGGCTGCAGCAAGCTGGCCCCAGCTCGGGTCTGGGTGCCACCCTGGCTGCACCCGGCCTAGGGGCAGGGGCATGACTGACACTATCCTCTCCGTCGCTCACAGCAGCCTGGTGTGGTGTCATCACCCCCACTTCGCAGGTGAGAAAACTGAGGCTCAGAGGTGGTTCCTGTTCTTCCCACTGCAGCAGGCTGCCTCTGCCCAGCCTGTCACTCACTCATTAAACAGTAGTGGCCACTTTCTGGTGTCAAACCCTGGGAGGCGGAGGGAAGTTTGCCTTTCCTTCCGGAACTTCCGAGGCCCCGGAGGGAGGGCCCGTGAGCCTCAGAACCAGAGGCGGGTGGGGGACACGGGCCCTGCCTGGGCCTCCTGCTTTAGAACTCCTTGATCCGGGCCTCCTCTTGGGGTGAGACTGAGAGGAGGTCTGTGGGGAGGTGCCCACCTGGAGCCTGCAGCCCCTTTACCCACCCCTCTTCCTCCAGACCAAGCTCCGGGTGCTCAGAACTCTGGAATCCCTTTCCAGGTAACCTCAGCCCACCGGGGCCCACAGCCCCCGCCCCGAGCTCTGCGGCCGCCCTGGTCTGGCGTGGGCCCTGCGCTCTGTGAAACCCAGCTCCTTCCTCGGCCTGGCGGGGACTGACGCCTGCCCGGGGACTCGGGGATAAAGTGCTCCCTCCACACACCAAACCTAGGCTTGATGTCAGTGTGGAGGGGCCTCAGAGACCACCTAGGCTGACCTCACACCTTATAGGTGGGGAGACTGAGGTCCAGAGAGAAGGGTGCCCTGTGGGGGTGCAGACCTGGTCTCTTTGCTCAGCCTCAGCCAAGGTCAAAGCCCTCCTCTTGTCCGGCCCTCCCTCGGCCCCAGCCACTTCGCTGTGTGTCTCTCTCCGGCCCTCTCCTCCCCTGCCCGCCTCGTAACTCACCCTGACAGACACAGCAGCCGCCTTCCTACCTGTGAGCATACTCCACCCCACCCCCACCCCCACCCCCACCCCACCCAACAGCGGTCTCCTGGCCTCTTGCCTGTGGGTGGGCCCACATCCCCACCCCGCCCCCCACCCCTGGCACCTTTCCCCACCAACAAATGCGGAGCAGAGCAAATTGCTTAATGAGACACACATTTCGCTGTGAGTTGCTAATGAAGGGGCAAACCCAACCTACCATTAATTTGGTCCTGGGAAAGAAACTTGGCCTGCAGCAGACAGAGGACAGTCAGGAGGGGCTGCGGAACTCTCCCCCCGCCGTTCCCCGCCCCATCCCCTCCCTGCCCCCCGCCCCAAGCCCGGCAGGTGGCACAGACCCTCCCTTACCATCTCGGCCTCCGCTGCACCCCCGAGCTGCCTGCTCCCGGGACTGCTTTCTGGGTTTCCTTCCTCCCAGCTTCAAGTCCTAAGTCCGCCAAGCTGGGTGGAGGCCCCGGTAATAAATCCGCCGCTGCCATGGCGACCAGGCCCAGCGCCAGGGGTCGGATTCCCGCTTCCCGCCAGCTGATGCCCAGCAGGGCCGGGCAGAGCAGCAGGTGGGTTCTGAGAAGACAGGGCTCCCTGCAGAAGGGCCGCCCAGGGCTCGTCCGGCCCGGGAAGCTGAAGCTCTGGACAGACGCTCCTTCCTGGGAGCCCGCCCTGGACACGGAGAAGGGTCAGTGACACCCCAAAAGCGGGGCCGGGTGGGGTGTCCTGGGCCCTGCCCTGGGTGCGGTGCCTTTTCTTCCTCTCCTGGGAGAAGCAGGGAGCTGGCAGGTGCGGGTGCCAGCACACTGCCTTCCTTAAGGGGCACCCCATGGCCGCCTGCAGGCGGGGCGGAGGCCGATCGCTCAGCCCGGCGATGGGATGGCCGCTGCCACCGGCCAGGCCCGGGAGCAGGGCGCCGGCCTCGGTGCCTCGGGTCGGACCGTCCCTTCCCGCGGGCCTGTCCCTGACTGCTCTGCCGGGTCCCCGCCGGGCCCCCAGCGGACCAGAGGGGAGGCACAGCCCCTCCGCGGGCCAGGCCCCGCTCTGGGTCCGGCCGCAGTGGGCTCCCCAGGGGCTGAGGGAGGCCTCTTGGTGACTCCTCGGCCAGGAAGCTCCTCCTTTTCTCCCTTCCCCTTCTCAGCCCCCACTCCTTCCTTCCGGCAGAAGCTGCTGACTGCCCGTTTCCTCAGTGGTTTGTGCTGCTGCCCACCCCCACTGTGTACACACACACACACACACACACACACTCACTCACACACACTACACACACACCACCACCCCCACCCACACACTACACACATTCACACACACACACACACACACACACACTACACACCCACACCACACACCCACACCCCCCCCACACACACACACTACACACACACCACCACCACCCCCACACACACACCACACACATTCACACACACACACACACACACACACACAAACACACCACACACATTCACACACACACCACACACCCACACCCACACACACTCACACACACACACTCCTCAGTGGTTTGTGCTGCTCCCCAACCCCATTGTGTACACACACACACTCACACACACTACACACACACACCACACACCCACACACACACACACTCACACACACACACTCCTCAGTGGTTTGTGCTGCTCCCCACCTCCACTGTGTACACACATTCACACACACACGCACACACTCAGGAAGTGAGGGTGGTGGGGTGGTCCCCAGAGCTGCTGAGCTGGGCACAGCTGGGTTCTGGCCTCCCAGCTCCTTGTCCACAGCTGGTGGCTGCCTGTCTGCGGCTCCAGCTCCAGGGTTCAGCGCCCTTTGCTAGGCCCTGCGGGTTGTGCCTGTGCTAGGGGTCCCGGCCCAGGGGGTGAGCGGCCCTAGGGAGGGGATCTGGCTAATGTGCACAAGCACATGGACACGTGGGCCCTCCTTTCCCGACCACCTCCACGTGAACGGTTCTCTTTCCCCCAAAACTGTGGGTTGGGTCACCTCTCCACACCTGTTTCCAGACCCAGTGTCAGCTGGGGGGCTGACTCCTCCTGTGGGGCTGAGAAGAGAGCTGGTCAGGGTGCAGGAGAAGGGGAACTTCTCACTAACACTATGTTGGGGGGGGTGGGGGGAGGAGAGGAAAGCCAGGAGGGGTCTGAAGGCAGGGGGCAGGGCTGAGCCTTGTGGGGAAGTGGGGGGGCCAGGCCAAGCGCATGCTCAGAATCACCCTGTGGCCGAGACCAGTTTGGCTCAGTGGTAGAGCGTTGGCCTGGGAACTGAAAGATCCCAGGTTCGATTCTGGTCAAGGGCATGTACCTTGGTTGCGGGCACATCCCCGGTGGGGAGTGTGCAGGAGGCAGCTGATTGATGATTCTCTCTCATCGATGTTTCTAGCTCTCTGTCCCTCTCTCTTCCTCTCTGTAAAAAATCAGTAAAATACATTTTTAAAAAAGGAAAAAAAAAAAAAAAAAAAGAATTGCCCTGTGTTTGGGAAGGGGCATGTGAGAGGAGATAGGCATTTCCTTCGTGTAAGTCAGTGTGTGCCAGGGCTGTGTGTGAAGGCTTCCCACTGGCATACCCTTGCCAGCTCCTTCCTCAGGTGTTTATGTGTCGCTCAGATGATGGAAACACCTGCATGAGTGTGGTGGCTACGGGAGGGTTCACTGTGCAAAAGTTCACCCGGCCGCCTGCTGTCCTGCTGTGTGTTTGCTGCACTTCAACTTCACAGGAAAAGACAGAACCCCCCCCCCCCCAATACCCCTTGGGACGTGGGGGGCTGAGAAGTTCACCTGAAGGGCCCCATCACCAGGTTTCTGACTCAGCAGGTGGAGTGGGGCGAGGATTTGCATCTATCCTGAGGCTGCCAGTTGGGACCACACTTTGAGAACCACTGGCCTAGCTTTCCAGTGGGGTGAAGCCAGGTGACAACTAAGAAGTATTTCTAGCCCAGCAGGAGTGGCTCAGTGGTTGAGCAGTGACCTATGACCCAGGAGGTCACAGTTCAATTCCAGGCCAGGACACCATGTGAGTTGCAGGCTCCATCCCTAGTAGGAGAGTACAGAAGGCAGCCAACCAATGATTCTCTTTTATCATTGATGTTTCTATCTCTGTCTCCATTTCCTCTCTGAAATCAAGAAAAAAAAAATTTTTTTTTAAAATAAGTATTTCTAGGGAAACATTTCCAGCTAAGTTCCCTGAGAGCTCTGTCAAAAGGAACATTAAGCCCTAGCGGGCTTGGCTCAGATAGAGTATTAGCCTGTGGACTGAAGGGTCCTGAGTTTGATTCTGGTCAAGGGCACAGGCCGGATTGTGAGCTCAATCCCTAGTAGGAGTTGTGCAGGAGGCAACCAATCAATGGTTCTCTCTCCCTCTCTGAAATCAATCCTATCTAACAAAGAGTGAATATGCTAATTGACCATCATGCCATCACAAAGATGGCAGTGTCCACAGCCACAGATGGTGGCACCCAGCCCCTTAGCCCTGCCGGGGTGTCAGGCATGCAGCAAGGCTGAGCCTGCCCACAGGCAGGCCTGGCCACTCTGTGCACCTCCTTGGAGTCCCCCAGTTTCCTCAGCCCACAGCCGTCCAGAGCTGGCCTGAGGTGCCGGCTGGCAGCTTCCTAGCCACCCAGGGCCACCTGAGGCTCAGGTAACCAGGACAGGCCAAGGCTTGCGCTGCCAGCAGTGGCAACAGCAGAGGTGTGATGGGGTATCGCTTTCCCCTGATTGCCAGTTTACCTCCCACCCCTGAGGGCTCCTGGATTGTGAGAGAGAACAGGCTGGGCTGAGGGACCTCCCTCTCCAGTGCATGAATTATGAATTTTCATGCACTGGGCCTCTAGTATGTGTGTGTGTGTGTGTGTGTGTGTATAATTTAAAGGGACATTAAGTCTCAAAGCCTCTAATCATTTGCTGGGATTTCTTTTTCTTTTTAAATATGTTACTCGAACAACATGGGCTTGAACTGCATGAGTTTACTTCCTATGTGGACTTTTTTCAGTAAATGTATTTCCTCTTCATTTTTCTTTAAAAAAATTTTTTTTATTGATTTCAGAGAGGAAGGAAAGGGAGAGACATAAACATCAACGATGAGAATCATTGATTGGCTGCCTCCTGCATACCCCCCATTGAGGATCAAGCCTGAAACCGGGCATGTGCCCTGGCTGGGAACTGAACCATGACCTCCTGGTTCATAGGCTGATGCTCAACCACTGAGCCACTCTGGTTGGGCCTTTTGCTTTTCTTAATAACATTTTCTTTTCTCTAGCTTTACTTTATTAATAAAAAATACGTATTAGGCAACTATATTGTCAGTTGGGCTTCTGGTCAACCATAGGCTGTTAGAATAGTCAGCCCTCCACATCTGTGGTTTTTAGTCACAAATGGAAACTGGCTAGGTAGCTCAGTTGATGGAAGCATCACCCCACACACCAAAAAGGTTGTGAGTTGGATTCCTGGTCAGAGCACATAACTAGGTTGAGGGTTTGATATCAGGAGGCAATTGACCGATGTTTTTGAAATATGGTAGCAACTGTACTTGGGTAAAAAGTGCTGTTTGAATTTTAATCCTGCTATTCTGGCTTCAGCACTCACTTACTTGCTTAAACAATAGGGTAGTTGCCTCAGCTTCCAGATGGAGACCTGGAGGCTAAGGCAATTTTCCTATACCTGTGGACCAGGACCACAGGAGACTGATTCCCACTGACTCAGTAGCTTCAGGAGTAGAAACTGTAGATAACGTTTAGAGATTAACCGCTGAGCTCTGCTTCTGTACTCTCTGCTATCGCAAGATAGGGCCACATTCCAATGTCCAGCAGGACCCTGCGGGCTGTTCCCAGCTTTTAGAATTTAGAACAAAGGAAAATGTTTGTAGTTTGGACCTTTAAAAGGACTGCCTACACCCGGAACGGTGTGGTCATGAGTGTGGCCACCTGCATATGGTGCTCTTGCGGCCGGCCTGGCCAGTTCAATAAACCCTTGCCTGCTTTTTTTTAAATCAATCATCAGCCTCCAGTGGTCTTATTTTGAACCCAGGGTTCAACCTCACAAGTTTCTCTTTCCCTTCCTTCCTCTCTCTCTTAAAAAAAAAGTTTGCTAACATATTAAAAACAAAAACAATGTTTGGATCCCTGGCTATGAAATCCAAGAATAAGAAGAACCAGGTGTAGCTAAGTTTGGGGGCAGTTATATGCAGAATTTTGACTTTGCAGGTCAGTATCCCTAACGCCCATGCTGCTCAAGGGTCAACTGTATTCACTTTCATCTCTAATTTTTTATACTTTTTTTTACTGTTTTCTTACTAGGGGCCCTTCAAATTGTATTTGCTTCAGGCCCCACACAACCAGGCCTGTGCCTGATCAGAAGTCCATTAGGCCACTCTGAGGCCAGGCCCGAGGGTTCGGAGGGGCAGTGTCCTCGGGAAAGGGAAGGAATGAAACGAGGTTGCTGGGCAGGTGGGGGCACCAGGGCTGAAGGATGCGTCTCCTGCCCACAGCCCCTC